AGATGAGAGGCCAAAATGTTCAATTAGAAAGCGGGCAAGATTGTGGCTGCTGTTGTTGTTATTGTTGTTAACGCATGCGCTGCACGCTCATTACCGTTTGTTGTCGGCACTTCTTTAAATGCTGATTTACGCGAACAGGTTGTAAAGTTAACGTCAACAGCAGCAGCAGCAGCAATAACAACAACATTACAAAGCCCAAGTTAAGCTTAAAGCGCAGCTTTAACAGCAACGTCGACAGCGATAAAACCGAAAATAGTTACGTTTGCGCAGTCGCAGTCGCCGACTCCGCTCAGTCAGCGACGAACACGCCAAGCAATCGCAACGCAACGCAACGTAGCGCAAGGCAACGCAAGGCAACGCAAGGCAAGGCAAGGCAAGGCAAAATTGCCAGCAAGCACGCCAAGAGAAGAAAGATCGAAGCAAAAGCAAAAAACAAGCGAACAAGTGTCGAGTTTGCGGTTTAACGGTAGTGTGTGTGTATTGCGCATCTCTCTCTCTCTCTCTATTTCTATATTTCGCTCTCTGTCAGTCGCGCGTAAACGATTCATTGATCGAGCGCAGCATCATCTGCAGCATATGCGTGTGTGTGATTGGATTATACACACATATATCGTCTTTTTTTTTTTTGGTTGTTTTGTGCATGTGTGTGAGTTAAAGTGAAATGGAATTTGTTGAATTTTAATTGCACGCAGCAGGTTCAGCTGAGAGCAACAGAAACAGACAGCAAACCAAACATTTCATTCAACTTGCTAATGAAAAACAACAATAACAGCAGCAGCGACCTGGAGAAAATTGTTGATAAATAACAGCAACAAACAAGCAACGACTGCAAACAAACATAAAAAAAATATTTAAAAAAAAAACAAAAGAAACCAAGACGGCATCTTCATTTAACGTAAGTTAAAAAAAAAGTTATAAAAACTTTTAAGTTTAATTGAAAAAATAATCAGCTTCAGCGACTTTTATCTATGATTGGGATGGCAATGTTTTTTAGCTTAAATATTAATTCAATTAAATATGTTATTGTCACTAACGAATTTTAATCTATTTGCTCTGAATCAAATGACGTGTTTATTCCACTCATATTTTTAAGATATATATAATATTAATATATAATAAAAAAAAAATAGAAGTGAATTGAAATTCGGCACGTTACTGGTCAAAGAAATGCATTCTTTGCATGCAAAATTGATACAAACAAATGTGTAGATTTCGGAACTAGAAATGGATTTGTCTTGAAAAAGGCTAAGGTGGCAGCACTGACAAATTAAGTTTTAGATATTCAAGATAAGCAGATTATAAAGCTGTTCAGTTAATCAAGTTAGAGCATTATTGATGGAAAAAAGTGTAAAAGAAACAAAGTAAACAGACAAGGCAAATTTGCAAGGCAAATTTGATTTTGATTTGAAACTGTATCATCTTGCCCAAGTACGACTTCTTTGTCTAAAGTACAAACATTTGTATATAATACACAACTTATCAGATTTTTCATGTCATATACAACACACTGAGCAAAAACCAGGTCTAAAGGTTTTTGGCCCTGTCTTTGCTTACCAGAGTGAGAGGGAAAATGGGCAAAAGCTGTACGATTATTTTGATTTTTATATTTATGTGCATTCGTATACGTATTGTTATTGTATCTGTAACGTATATAGTGGTCATCGATCATCGATCATCGAGCTATCGATTAAGAACGTGATTGAGCTTCTGGTCACTTGCCTGTGCATACAAATATAGATGCCCAAGGGCATGCTCAGTTTTTCGAGTAACGAATCATTATTTTCATAATTTATAATCTGTCTATGTACAATTTGAGCCAAAACCAGAATTCTAACAGGCTAGAAGCTGGCAGTAATACATAAGCCATAAGTCAGAACTGTTTTTTCTTTCTCAAGTCATGTCAATTTTTGTCCGTCTATCCATAAACCACAATTTGTATTCAAGTATAACAACAATAATATACCATAATAATAAGCACATGCCACATGAACTACAAAATGGAAATAACTCGCATTCATTAACAGTTTTGGTATGTCATTAATTGGCATTAAACTGTTTATGTTACTACCTGTTTTTGTACTCTTATGCCGAAGGTAGAAAAGTCTATATTCGCCTATCGGGTGCAATGTCCCTCAATATTGCATATAAAAACAAGTATTAATGCTCAAAGTGAGAAGAACTTTTGCAGCTGATCAATGTAATACCTGTTATGAACTCGAAAGCTATATCTAATATATTACGCCCTTTTTTGGTAATCGATTCTTATCAATATTAGTAAATTGAAATAAACTTGACCATGGCCATCATTGTGAGAACATTCATTCCAAATTTGAATAGTAAAAATATATAAAAAATAAGTAAATAATAATGATTTGAAATGAAAAATATTTATTTTACATGTGTTTTCTATTATTAAGAAACACATTTATAAATAGTTTGAAATTCCAGGATGCTTATGTTTAATAATATAAATAATAATAAAGAAAATATACTTTCTGAATAATAGGAAAGAGAATATGTCACACAGCTTAAGAGCAGGAAATCAGAAGAGTATTAAGCAGTCGGTTATTTGCGACTTCAATGTTCTCATGCATTTTTAAATATTAGGTCTGTAGTAATAATGGGAACTGCTGAAAAATTGCTTCCTTAAATGCGGCGAAAGTTTTTCCTTGAAGTCCACAACATTGTGTATTGTGTATATAGAAAAATTGCAAGGCAAGCAAAAGCCTAGACAAACTAAGACACAAGACACAAGACATTGAACTGCCCACTGGCCAATTGAAAGTGAAAGGGGGAACAAACGCAGACGCACTGCGTCCGTCGGACAAGTGCTATTTAAAAAACAGCCACAAGGCTTCCTGAGTCTGTCTGTCTGCCTGGGCGAGAGTTGGGCAGCGACCAAACTGCAAGCGGTTAACATGACTTGTGCCCGGTTTTGGACATGTTCAGTTGTGTTGAGTGTCGAGTATTTCAGTGCGTTGCACTCGATTTTCAATTTCATTTTCCTTTTCAATTTTCCATAAATTGCTTTGCCAATGTGAGTCGCATGCAGCTTACAAAATAATTTCTTTGCAAGCCTGGCAATTAACTCGTATTAAGTCATTTCGAATGTTAATTTCATTCAGCCCGGCTGCGACCTTGTCAATTTTATTGTAATTGTTCACAAATCTAAAAAAAAAGCTCAGCTGGCATAATACTGGCACGAATACTCACATGCATACTCGCAGGTATACTCGTATGAATACTCTTACGAATACTCGTACGAATAATTCGAATGCGTGCAATGATTATTGCCTAGCCAGCTTAAATGCGAATTTGAATTCGTGTTCGAGTTCGTGTGCGAGACTAGCTGAGAGATTTGACAGTTTGACGGCAACTGTTCACTACTCACATCTATTGTTTACTGTGAATAAACCTTAAATCCTTATTCAATTGGGGACATTTCAGAAAACAGACTTTAGAAAAATGTGAATATCGCCCTGAAAGGTTTGTTGATTTTAAAGAATTTCAAGAATCTTTTAAATTAATTGATTGCAATGTTTGAAGAGTGGTGATTAAAATGTATGAACAAATTACGGAAAGCTGGCTACAGGGGCATATAATTTTGTACGAACTGTAGTCAGTAATCTGTGATGATTGTTTATTTGCCAAGTTGTGTTTTCATAAACTTCGACAAATTAACGCTCAACATTTCGATTGTAGTTTTCGGCATTTGTGTGTGTTTCATTTTATATAATTCCAGCCACAAGCAACAACAACTTCAAATGCGAACAGGTAAAGCTGCTACCAATTGTCATTGTCAAAGATTACAAATACCAAAAAAAAAAAACAAACAAAAATGCAAAGCAACATCAACGTGACAGACTGCACAATACTCTGATCCTAGTCGAATAACAACGAAAAGCAGGTGCCAGAAAATTCCAACTGCCTGATTCAAAGCCAGTGAATTTAAGGTGTGATATTTTGATATTTATTTATTATTGCACGATTTGAAAATGCTCTCTGCTCACTTTGGAACAGAGTATAAATATGCTCAAATTAGTTTGTTTTGTTATTGTAGGCTAAAAATTAACAGACACGTACTCAATTCCTTAAGAAAATAACAACACTCTAACGATGATAAATATATCAAATCAAATTCATTTTGAAGGCTGCTTGCCGCATTAACCCATTGTTGTCGTTATTGACCAGTAGCAGGAAATTTATGATGCTGATGATCTTATCTATTATTATTATCTTATTATATGCAAAAGAGCTTAGCCGGATTATTGACTGATGAGCATTGCATGTAAGGATGTAAGTAAGCTCTACCAAGGCATGTTTACTTTAGCCACTAAAACGGTTATTAAATCATATCATGAAACTTCTTCGATCGTATCATTCTGTATACATTATGTTGATCCACAACATTAGCCGAGTCGATATAGCCATGTCTATATACGGGCGAGAGCTGGAAATTAGAAATATAGGTCTTCCTATCGATAACTAGTCTCGTTTCCCAAAGATCGCTAAGAATGTGTCTTCGACTGAATTGACACATTTCTTTAAGGTGATCTCGTTGTTAAGGTTCTTGCGTGTGTGTGTGTCTGTGTGTGTATTAACTATTAACATCAATTCATTTTTTCTGCATAAAATTCACATTTCAGTGCAAATACATAACATTGACTAAGGCGCCCAGTTTCCAACTCTTCAGACAGCGATTCCTATGACAGCGAGGGTGCAGCAAGCGGCAACAAGCTGGGCAACACCAACAGTAACAACAACAATGAGCTAACTGCACTTGCCAACTTACAATGAAAACGATTAATCAAATGAACATAACATTAAATTAATTGACAGACCAGAAAAGAAACGACTGAGAACGTTGAAGTCAAACATAGCCGACTGCATAATACTCTAGTAGCGACGTTCCTTTAGTTTTGAAAGAATTTTGTAACACTACCCCTAGAACTGTGAGATAACTCAGAAATATAATCGATATAAATTATAGAAAATCGATCAGAAAATCTAGTTATTTGACAAAACGTGGCTACAAATTTTAAAATATTGTGTTGCTATTTTCATATTTTTTTTTCGAAATATTTGTATTATTAAGAAATGCATTTTTAAAAAGTATATGTGTATATATATTGTACCAGACCCCTGGGTCTGAGTGTATATGCCAAGTTTTAAGCCTCTAGTTTGAGAGGGCGTGGACAGACAGCATGACGAGCATTGTGCAAAACGAATACACCCTTCAACCTTCGGTAAGATACAGGGACTTGGATGACAATATCAGTTAGATTAGTCAATGTTCTGATTAGCAAACAGAGCACTTGCCACAATTGGCAATTGGTGCAGTTAGTGGGCAATTTTTGCAGTCAGTTGCCCACTTGCCAGTTAACTGTAGGGATGCCACGCCCAGCTGGCATTACGCCCACGCATTCTTGTTCAAGTGCATCTGTGTGTGTGTGTGGATAGTTGTTGTTGTGTGTATTGTAGTGTCACATTTCACAGTTATTTGTTGTTGCTGTGTTGAATTTACTTCAGTGGCTGTCACGGCAGGCGGCGCTTTAATTACCCCAACGAAGCAGAAGCTTCAGCCGAAACTCTGCAACTGCCACATGCATAATATCTTTTACTCACACAAATTTACACAGAAAAAAAAATCATCCTGAAATGTAGAAAATCATCGCAATACATTCTGGCGCCTCACTTAATATTCAGAAGGTATATTTCTAAAACGCAAGGATTTGTCTCAGAGTTTTTCTTTTCTTACTTCTAACACCCATTTTTTTAAATTTTGAAAAAAGATTTATAATTTCCAGAGAATTCTTAGATTAAGAATTTCTAAGAACTAGAAAATTCTTTCCAGTTTTCAGTGCGAATTGCATTTTAAAGCGAATTTTAGTGCAATTTTTTTCTGTTTTTCTGAAAAACAGAATTTTCTTAATTCTTCAATCGATTTTTCTGAAATGTAAAAGAAATATGTATAATTTCCATTTAAATAATTGTTTTCATATGTTTAGAAATTTGTATTACAAATAAGAACATTATTTCTAGTTTTCAGAGAGAATGTTGGAAAAAATTGAAAAATTATTGATTTGTGCCACTTTCTCTGAGTGTATGTTTGCAAGTGCATGTATGTAAGTGTGTAGTCAAGATTGTGAGTTGTGGGTGCTAGTGCTGCAGACAACAGGCGGGACGTCATTCACTCACTCACTCAGTCAGTCAGTCAGACAGTCAGTCAACGCTTGGGAATGTTCACAGCCAAATTGACAAATTCTATCCTATGTAAACAATATGCGCTCTGTAAAACTTGGACAGCTGCCACGTTATGCAATGCAATACAGCTTGTTGAGGATGCAGTTGCGGCCTGAAATAATAACTTGTTGCACATACATACATAGTATGCACAGACATATAATACATATAATTAAAATGATATGAATATAGGAACAGATTAATTGTTTATACCTTGACGTTAACTAGACATCGACCTTTTCTAGAAAATTAGCTTTGAACCTCTTAAAAAATGATTGAAGTTAAAATCGAGTTGGGATGTTCGCTTAAAATGTAATTATAAATGTACTTATTTTATGGTAAATATACATAAATTGGATAGCTAACCATAACTGCGAAAAATGTTAAACTCAACGTATTTTTGGCATTGATTATATTAGGTTCAAGAGCATCTGGAACGATTTTTGTGGCAATTAACTAGTCTCGATGAACTGTGATCTCCACAATTTTTTCCAACTCAGTTGAGTGGAATAGTTTCCCAATATATTATTTGCAATCTGGTCGATCTTAAAATCTATAACTTACAGATCTGAGCATTTGCTTATGCCCCAGAGTCTAAAAAAATTAAATAACTTGGCAACACACAAAAAATTAACAGAAGTAAGAGTCGTAAGTAAGTCGAGATAGCCCGACTGGAAGATATACCAATCAGATCAAAAAATTGTTAAATAAAACGTTAAGAAGGGAGAGAAAAAGAAAGAGACAGAAAGAGGGGGAAAGAGAGAGAGAGAGTGAGAGAGAGAGAGAGTAATAAAAAAGTGAGAGAAATTAAAGAAGACGAAAAAAGAAATCTCTAAACCCGTGGAATATAATAAATTTATTACAGCTAAGCACACTGAGAGATTTCCGGGTGATATTTTCGTATTGAACTTTTAAATTACAATTTGACAGAAGAGAGAGTTTCACCCAGAATACGGAAAATAGGGCATCGTAAGATTTAGAGATGACACGAAACAGGATTGGGCAAATTATAGTCAGTTGTGCATGAAGGCAATGGAAATAAATAATAATGTTTAATAATAATATATGTAACAAAAAAAAACTAATATCAGAAAGCTTCAATTTACGCACATAGAAAAAACCAACATCCTGGCAAATCAGACAAATTTCTTTTAATCTTAAAAAAATACTCCCTGAAAAAATGAAATGGAAAACAACCTTCGATTCTAGAAATTTACTTTCTGAATAATAAGGTGAGGAACCAAAAGTATGGAGAATTTCTAAATTCAGGGCGATTCTTTTTAGCTGTGTAATTTATCTATACTATTTATGTTGCCTGTTAATTCGGACTGACATTGAGAAAAAAAATTCACCTGTTGCAACCAACTGTTGCATGCAGCTGGCCAGGCACAGATTGTAATGTAGACACAATGTTGATTGTTTACTGTTGATGAGTGTTGCGTGGGTTGGCAGTTGCCAGTTGGAATTTAGCAGTCTTCACAATTTGCGACACTTGCATTTGGCCACTCATGGTTCGATGCATAATTTGAGCTGTGCGCTGTCAAAATTTGGGCAGGCAATTTACAATTTCAATTTTCGTGCCCATTTGTGTGTCTGTGGCACCCCCTCGTGGGGACGGGGGCGTGGCAACAACTCGCCAGTCGCGCCAAGTTCGGTGCTAGCGTTGCAAAATAAAACGAATCTTATGAAAGCGCTTGCGTTATTGTTTTTGTCGTAATTGTTGTTATTATTTTTGGCTTGGTTCCGCTGCAAAATGCAGGGCCATCGATCGATATGAGGAAATCCTACGCTCAACTCTAAAATAGTTTTGTAAATAACTTACATCAAATTACGCGCAGCAATTTTTCCAAATCAATTTCGGTTTTTGACAAGTGAAAGTGGCCACTAGGATCCAGTTTTTGCTGCGGATGAAGCTGCGGACTGTTGTCATACTCTGCTCCCGAAGGTTGTAGAGTATATTCCTGTATTCTTGTATGTTTTTTTTCTTTTTCAATTTGACATTGTTATATTTTTGTGGTCATTTACAATGTAAACATAAATCGCTTGAGTGATGTGAAGTGAAATAATTAAAATTTGAAGGATGGAAGTTAATGTTACTTAAACGCAACTGATTGGGTAGCGTTAAATTCATTAGACAAAAGTGCGACAGGGCGTGGTCTTCTATAGAGACTTGATATGAGTGAAATTGTTTCAGATTTTTAAAATTGAAAACCTATATCTCCCATAGTTGATGAGTTGGTTGGATTTGTCGCGGCACTTACAAGAATGATTTTTACAGCCTGTTATCAGGCGGTATTACTCCGATATCAGAGCATTAGGCAGTTGGCTACGCCCGACAGCCACGATCTTATGTTTTTCTTGCATTTGTTGTCGGAATAATCTTACTTTCAGGAAAAACTCATCGACATACCAAATCAACGTCAACATAGGCATTGGCAACGTCATCGTCATCAGCATCAGTATCGGCATCGGTATGTGAATGATTCCCCTTGGCGCTTTTCATTTTAACTCTGCTGCGGTTTCCGTTTTCTTATCTGAATGCCCTTTCGTTGTCTGTTGGCTGCTGCTGTCGAAAAAAGTAAACAGCAACAGCAACAGCAAACGCAACAATAACAACATTGACTCGAAAACTTGCCGTTTTACAAACCTGTTGCTGGCATTTTGTTGTTATTGTCGTGTTGCACAGATATTTTTTTCTTTTCATACCCTGCAATTGCCCAATTACCCAAAGGGCTATAATACAGTACAAATAGAAAATAGAAATGACGAAAACTAAATTTACTTTCTTTATTTAATATAAATATCACAATAATTCTATCCAACCAATTCAAAAACATATAATTTATTTTTTTTTTAATTAAATGAATAATAATAATTTATAGTACTTTTAAAGGCTATGCAAATATTATCTATTATCATAAAAATGATAATTCATTTGAACTCTCTGAAAATCAATGGTTTCCAGACTAAGCTCTCTATTACAAAAAAAAAAAAACTAAATATAAATTTAAGAATATTAATAGTTTTTCTTGTTCTTAGTTTAGAATATATAGAAGTTTATATTTATTATTTCTAAGCTTCATTATAAAGAGATGGTACTTGCAATCAATTCAAATTAGGAAAGTCTTTATTGTATAGAAAGGGATGCCAAAGGGATGCTCATATGCATGTACGTGGCATCTTTTAATCGAGCATGTGATTAATGTTTTTTTTTTTTTATATATATTTATGTTTGCCTACCAATTTATCGACATTTTGAGTGCAGAATGCAGTTTTTTCTACGGTTTGGTGGTTAAGTGCTTGGCCGGTTTTTGAGCGCAGCAACCACTGCAACAGCTGCTCAGAAAGGCGGCGATTGTGGCTACTGTGAGTGGCGAGGGGTGATTGAGGGGTCTCCAAAAACATGCCCCAATGACAAAGCGACAACAACTGTTTTGTATATGCTAATTGCGTGTGTCTGTGTGTGTATGCGTGTGTGTGCGTGTGTGTGTGTGTGTGTGCAAGGGCGTACACATGGAGGGACAGTCGGCGAAAGAAAATCGAAAATATATAACATAATTAGAGATGAGCATTCCAAAGACCATTTGAAACTATTAATTGTAGATCGAAGCTAATGTGAATCTGAATATTCCGCATTTGTTTCTACGAATATCTCAATTGCAATTTAAAGCTTGCGACAGACGGTTCAGCTATATAATATAGTGAACCTATTATTATTTTTGTGCGAAGTAAAAAGTCGGATATATATCAAGTTTCATCACTAGAACAGAGAGTTTGATTTTTATATTAACACAAAAAAAAAGAAGTCTGACATCGCTATATCGACTCGGATAATGATGCTGACTAAGAATATATAGGTACTTAATGGTGTCGGGAACGTCTTCTTCCACACATCTCGAAATTATAAAGCCCTCATAAGGGTATAAAAAATTAAGAATATATTATACTTTCTGGGGTCGAAGGCGTCTCCACCAATACGCTACGTACCTCATGACAAGTGTGTACAAATGAAATGTAGCTGCCCCTTGATAAAAGTAGCTGCGTACGCTTCTGAACGTATGTATTTAGTCAATTATGCCAAATTGCTGTCAAGGCGGTAAGAACAATAACACGAAAATAACACAAAACCAGCAATGCATATTGTACATAGTGACAAACGTAAATTTACGGCAAATTGTCAGCGTAAAAATCTGAAACGAAACTTTTGTCCATAAAATGCCAACTAAATAACAACTTGCTGCCTGTGCCAGGTCAGCCAGTTACTTAGCGTGTGTATTGGGTATGTGTGTCATCACTCGAAAAGTTAGAAAAGTATAGTCAACAAATTTGCAAGGAAGATTGTTGCATATGGCTTAATGCCCGAAATTGCAATATATTTGCCTTGTGTAAATGAATTCGATAATTTTCTCGCCTCTGCGGCCTTTATAATTACACTTTTTTCTTAACAATTAAAATAATTTAATCTATTTTCTCTTCAACACATATGCATTTCCATTTTGGCAGAGGAGAGTGTCGATAACCATCGTCAAAATGTATATATTTTGTTCTTTTGAAACCGTAAAACATATTTTTTATGTGAAGCTTTTACTTATCGGTCTGAGAAGAGAGCTTAAGTAGGAACAATCGTTGGGTTTAAATGAATAACGAAACCTAGATGTAAACAAGTTCAAGAGTATGTAATCATCGGCGTTCTTTCTTGCTTTTGCTTTCTTTAATTGCCAAAGTGTGAACCGGTTGGCGTTTTCCGTTCTCAGAACTCAACTGCAAATCTGGGAAGCTGGCAAATGCCAAACTACCAACCACAATAATAAACAGCAATCAGAACAATAAGAACAGTGACAATGCCAACAACCCATAAGCTGTCACATTGCGACCGAATTGGTAAACGGCGTTGGTTTCTTTTGGCTTCATTGCGTTTCGCATTGTTTGTAAATAAAACATTAAAAAAAAGAGATGGCAAGAATGCCAATATCGTAAATATCTCCAAATAATAATTATAAAGGTCTACAAAAACCGATCAAAAAATTATTCCATGTCGAAGAATAGACTCGAATAGAAAAGAATAGAATATAATAGAATAGATCAGAATAGAATAGAAAGAATAGACTAGAATAGACTAGACTATAATAGATACAAGGTATATTCAATAATTGATTTAACCGATTTTTTGATTATGTGGAGCAGTCCTCAAGACACTATATAGCAGAATGTCTCTACTTGGCAAGAAAAAGGAATAGAATCCTAGAAAATCATGTTTTAAAGTCGGAAGACATAGAAACCCTAGTCTTTCCCAGTGCTACAGCCTAGGCATATTATTTAAGTCAATAGTCTCTAAGGCATTATCCGTTTTATAAAAGTTAAGTATTTGATATTAGCATTATCTCTATTACATATTGACGATTTGCATTTCAAGTTTAGTTTCATTCACTTTCCTAAGTAATGCTTAATATTATATATGTTAAATTTGATATTCGTTTAATATGATTTCACAACCAATAATTCTTAAATTTTGAGCAAGTTGTTTTTAGAGCCCAGTGTCTTAAGCAGGCAAAGCTCTCACTTCTTGCGAATGTAGCAAATCTTACTTTCTTGTAAGGAGTGTTCTTTGCAGTACGAAATTTGTGTTTGAAAGTCAGTGTTTTGAATTTCATCAAGTCTATAAAGCTTAAATTAGCTAATTGGTTCGCATAGCTCGAACTTTGCTCAAGTCGCTTGAGGGCAAACACATAACTCTACGCTATATTATTTTTTGTCGACTTATGCCATCACAATTTGCAAACATTTCTAGCCCATACGAAAGAGAAAGATGCACATAATAGTAATATGGCCGTTGGCAAAAAGTGTTAAGTTGCAGTAACCTATACGTTTTCCCAACCGATTTATTTATTTAATGTCAACTAACATAAGTTTACACAGAAAGATACTAATAGGAAAAAGTAAATTAAATTAATTTAAAATAAAATTTTATATTTAAATTTAAATTCAATAAAATAAGAAATATTTATAAGATTGCTGGGGGTATTAAATGTTGCATGGACTGAGAAAACTCAAAAGAAAGCACCATCAGATATAAAAAAATTAGTTAATTATTAGTTAGCTAGTTAGTTAGTTAATGGAGAGTGGGAATAACTAACAACTAGGATCTAGAGCCAATAGAAAAATAAATTCATTATTAATGTGGCTATTCCACGTTCTATTTTGAAATGTTTTTAAGTTATTCAATTACTTTGTTGCCACAAACTAAACTATAATTCTATTGACTGCAGCACCCTGCCAATGTGCCAGTGACGTCAGCAGGAGCAGCATCATCATCACTATGGCAGAGACAAACAGCAATGCGCAGCAGGCAATGATGAGCAGTGGGAACAACAACAACAACCACAACAGCAGTGAATTCAATGGTCGTCACTCGGCCTCTCCGGCACGGACCATAGATTCGCACGATTCCACAACCGGCAGCATGGACACAATTGTGGACCGCAGTCTTGGCCGCAAGGAGCTGATGCATGTGACCAACACCATTGAGCAGAGCTCCAATGCGACCAATGCGATCAATGCCGGCGGCGGCAGTTTGACCAACTCACAAATAGCAATGATCCAGCAGGATTCACAACATCAACAGCAGCAGCAGCAGCGGCAGGAACAGGAGCAACAGGAGCAGGATGCACGCCAGCACTTGGATGCACAGAGTCACATATATTCGAGTCCCGTTTACGATGAGAAGCCATCGCCAGCTTTAAATCTAGCTGCGCCGACATTAATGGCCAGTGGAAAAGTTGACGCCACCAAGGAGCCAAAACTGATTAGCCACGAGGAGTTCAAGCAGCAGCTGGAGTTGGCCATGGCCAGCCGGGGCCAGGCCAAGAGTGTTAACAACACCATCGATTCACGCATCAGCAAGAAGCAGCGCTTCCCCCCAGAGCTCATCAAATACAAGGGGGGCAGCGGTGGCAGCGGAGGCAGCATCGATAGCAAGGTGCGCCGCAAGCGTCGGGCAAGCAATGAATGCTGCTCCGCATTCCCATTGCAAATCGTGCTGGGCACATTGCAATTGTTTTTGGCCATTTCGCTGACGGCGCTCGGCTCGCTGCTAATAGTCCGCGACGCGGCCTTGTCAATGGCCGGCTGCGGAATTTGGACCGGTCTAATTGCGGCAGTCACCGGCTCACTGGGCGTGGTCAGCATGCGAAAAACGCAAACCGCCTTTCTCGCGCTCAGCCTGGTTTGCATTGCTAGCAGCACGCTCGCCCTGGCCATTTCTGGCGTGGGCCTGTCCCGCGATCTCAATCGCATGGCCGAGCAAAAGGGTGAACAGGTGAGAGAGACCCCAGCAACAACATCAACAAAAACAGCATCAACAACATCGAACATTTCACTTTATTATTGTTAATGTTTTTGTCTTTGATTTTACAGTTTGACCTGATGAATGCCAATAGCGAAGTTTCAGCTGCCTGTGGTTTGATTTTTGCCCTCTTTCTGCATTTCGTGGTCAGCATTGTTTCCGTTTATCGCTGTGCCCTGCAGACCTGCACAAAGTGAGTACATTCAAATCCAATTTCGATTTTAATTCAAATTACATCGTTCGTTCATAATTAACATAATAAAACAATTGACCTCGTTAATTGCTCCTTTCTTCCGATTTACGAATTTTAAATGAATCGAAGAAAGCACGGAGTGTGTCTGGCCACATCTAAGCTGAATTATTAATTTATAGATGACAGATAAGATTATAGACTTGACTAATAATGCTCGTGCTGAAAATACATCCACAGATTAGGTATTTAAATTGGCGCCACTTGCTGCATTACCAACAATACTTTCGATAGCTGGCAGAGTTGCACGGCATTGCTGATGTGTGTTAATTAACATAGCCATGTTAACCCCCAACAGAACTTATCGATAGTTATGTGCGCATCTGCTTTATGATCGCTATGTGATTATTTATTTCTTATTTTCGTTAGTTCTTAATTTTGATTTGAAATATAATTAATATAAGTAAATGCCATCGATGACAGTGTACATAATTAAAATTTCAGAAATTAACAATTATGCATGAGATAATAATGTGAAGTCCCTGATGAGTGAATACATTTTTTACCATTCAACTTTTACCAGTATTTACTCTGTGTTCTCCCATTACGATCTAACATTGCAAAATTGGATTTTGTGAAAATTCTTCATCAAAAGAATTTATTGACAAGCAACCATCTCAGTATCATCTACACAACCAGAATATGAAAATTTATAGTATATTTAAATATTCTTCTGTCTGCTTGTGTATATTTTGTATGATGTAGTATTCAAATAAAGTGAATTTTTTAAATTGCATTATTTGAGCGGTTCCATAATGTAATAACTCTTGCAATTAAGTTTTCGCTGTTGTTTAGTTTGTGTATAAATTACAATAGTAATTCCGTTGCCCAACTAAATAATGGCAACTACGTAAAGTGCGGTTCTGGTTTGAATCAATTGATCGACTCGCAACGATATATATGATGGCGAAACCAATCGATTCATTGATATATCGATGTGGTGACTCACATCACTAGCTGGCACTAAAACCAACAAAAAAAAAAAAAAACGAAAAGAAATAGGGAAAGAGAAACAAAGTGAAAAGCTAAAAAAAAAATAGCGAAAGCAGCGAGCAGCGCAAAGCTTACAAATACGCTTTGCCAAATTACTGCTCCACCTCTGCAGACGCGACAACAGACGGACAACAGACCACAACAGCAGCAGCAGCAACAGACAGACAACAGCAGCAGCGGATATTACGATTAACAGGCAGCAAAACGCCCACGAAACCTGTAAGTGGAATATTTAAGGCCAAGAGGGCAGCAACAGAGACAGTCATGCCACTGGCTGACTCCAATAAGGATCTGAGACAGCAACAGCAGCAGCAGCAAGTCGAAGTCGTCCACAGCAGCAGCAGCAACAACAACAATGCCGAGCAGGCACAGCTGGACAATGCCAGTGCAGCAGCAACAACAGCAACAGCAGCAGCAGCTGCAGCAACAACAACAAAAGCAACATCAGCAATGGGCCTGCAGCTGCGTCAACGCATGCAGATTACATCCTCCGGCTGCAGCAGTCTGGCGGTGACACCCATGGAGCACACGCCCACCGACGAGGAGAGTGGCGCCGTTACCACAGTGACGTCATCGCAACGACGCCAACAACAGCAGCAGCAACAGCAGCAGCAGCAACAACTTCAAGCAGCCCTCGAACAACATCACATAACGCCGAGCAGCAAGACGCCGGAGCAAATGGAGCTGAGCGACTCGGAGTCGTATGGGGCGACAAGCTACGATGAGTTTGAGCTGCGCGAGGTTGTCAAGGAGGGGCATGACAAGGCTGATCCATCCCAGTTCGAGCTGTTGCGCGTGCTTGGCGAGGGCAGCTTTGGCAAAGTGTTTCTGGTGCGCAAGATATTGGGCAAGGACTCGGGCACACTGTACGCCATGAAAGTGTTAAAGAAGGCCACACTCAAGGTGAAGGATCGGGTACGCAGCACCAACGAGCGCAAGATCCTGGCGGATGTGGGCCATGCGTTTATCGTCCGTTTGCATTATGCGTTCCAAACGCCCGGCAAACTCTACCTGATCTTGGACTTTCTTCGCGGCGGCGATCTGTTCACGCGTCTCTCCAAGGAGGTCATGTTCACGGAGGAGGACGTCAAGTTCTATTTGGCCGAGCTGGCGCTGGCGCTAAATCATCTGCACACGCTTGGCATCATCTATCGTGACTTGAAGCCGGAGAACATACTGCTGGACGAGCACGGGCACATTGCGCTCACCGACTTCGGGCTGTCCAAGCAGCCGCTGGACGGCTCCAAAACGTACAGCTTTTGCGGCACCGTCGAGTACATGGCGCCCGAGATTGTCAATCGGAAGGGACACGACTTCGCCGCTGACTGGTGGTCATTCGGCGTCCTAATGTACGAGATGCTGACCGGCAATCTGCCATTTCACGGCCAGACGCGCCAGGAGACCATGAACCAGATACTGCGCTCCAAACTGGGCATGCCCGAGAATTTGTCGCCCGAGGCTCAATCCCTGCTGCGTTCCCTCTTCAAGCGCAATCCCCTCAATCGCCTTGGTGCCGGTCCCCAGGGCATACTGGACATCAAGGCGCACTGTTTCTTTGCCACCATCGATTGGGTGCGCCTCGAGCGGAAGCTGGTGCGTCCTCCATTCATACCGGCGGTCAGTCGCGACGATGCCTTCTACTTTGACGTGGAGTACACGTCCAAGTCGCCGCGCGACTCACCCGGCGGCCCCATCTCGGCCTCCGCCCACGAGATCTTTCGCGGCTTCAGCTTTGTGGCGCCCGTGTTGCTCGACTGCTGCAACAGCAGCAGCAACAGCAACATCAACAGCAACCCCAACAACATTACCACAAACATCAATAGCACTAACATGATCGGCAGCTGCTCGAACAATGCCAGCCCGCTGCATGGTGGCCTGCCCGCCGCTGGAGCGGGTTCGTCGGGGCCACGAAGTTTGCCTGGGGTGCTGCCTGGCAATTTTCTAGCCGAGTACAATCTGCTGCAGGAGCTGGGACGAGGCACGTTCTCGGTGTGCCGTCTGTGCGAGCATCGGGCCACCAAGAAGCATTACGCCGTCAAGATCATTGAGAAGGCGGCGGTGGCTGCCGCCTCCTCAGCATCGGCCGATTGCTGGGAGGAGGTTGAAATAATGCTGCGCTATGGCAACCATCCCAATATAGTTACCCTCTACTCGGTGTACGAGGACACAAACTCCGCATATCTGGTCATGGAGCTGCTCAAGGGCGGCGAACTCCTCGATCGCATCCTCGCCGTCGGCCAGATGTGCGAGAGCGAGGCAAGCGCCGTGCTCCGTACGATTGCAGCCGCCGTTGCCTATTTGCACGAGCACGGCGTCGTCCATCGCGATCTGAAGCCCTCGAATATGATCTACGCGAGCATGCGGCAAACGCCGGAAACCTTAAAGCTCTGCGACTTGGGTAAGTCCCCAATAAATACAGAGGAGCAGCAAAAGGATGAACATTTCAAACATAAGTTCATTTGATAGCAGTCGAGCATAAATATCGTATACAGTCTTGATCCGATTCTGATTCAGATTCATATAATATTATTAATTAATAATCCTATGTTGATCAGATGTTGCTAAATATTGGATCCGATTGGAGCAATAGCAGATGCTTTCGGTGGACACCGACTTAGGCTCCAGTTAAATATTTAACTTAATAGTCGCTATATCTGCATAGATTTCAAAATATTGTTCAAATGAACTTGTCGTTGTCTTGTCGCATTTAAATTGCTGATTAGTAGTGAATCTAATGGGAATTGCGATTTGCAGGGTTTGCCAAGCAGCTGCGCGCGGACAACGGGCTGCTGATGACGCCCTGCTATACGGCGAACTTTGTGGCGCCGGAGGTGCTCAAGCGGCAGGGCTACGATCTGGCGTGTGACATCTGGTCGCTGGGCGTGTTGCTGTACATAATGCTGTCCGGACGGACGCCATTCGCCAGCACGCCAAACGATTCGCCGGAGGTGATACTGAAGCGCATCGGATCGGGACATATCGATTTCAGCAGCAGTCGCTGGTCGCTGATCAGTGCGCCGGTCAAGGAGCTCTTGCGCCAGATGCTCCACATAGTGCCCGAAGAACCGGCCAACGGTCGCCCAAATCCTGGCGCACAGTTGGGTGCGCGACCAGTTCGCAGGCAACGTGCAACTCACCGAATACGCACCACCGCATCTGGCAAGTGGCGGCGGCGGTGGTGGCAATGGGGGTGGACAGCAACAGCTGTCACTGGGTGCGCAGCAGCAGCAGCACAATCACATCTCGATGGCACTGAGGGGAGCTGTGGATGCCACGTTTCGAGCAATCGCTATACCGCAGGCGGCAAACGTCGGCCCCGTCGAGCTATCGATGCTGGCCAAGCGGCGGGCCAAGGATCGCGCCAATCTGCATTCCTAATTGTTGGCAGGTCTGTGCCCGAAGCGCCAGGCCAAGCGGCAACTAATCCAATTCATATACAAACTCTATAGTATTCTAATGCATTGCTATGCACTTCCGCAACGGCTTTGGGAGTGGCAATCAGTGGCCATCAATCCACACCAGCAGCTGAATCTGGAGCATAACAACGATTGCCGACGCAGCGCAAAGCTGCGTTTGGTTTGAGAATGTGGATGAATGTTGATGTGGACATGGACATGGACATGGACAAGGACATAGGGACAGAACAACACACACACTTTCTCTCTCTCTCTGTCTGTCTGTCTTAACTCGCGTATCTTTAGACGAATCGTCAAAATTCAAGTATTTGAAGTGTTATTTATTTTATAATATCCATACTAGATTCAAAAAAAACAAAAAAAAAAACATTCATATCTACGATATATATACAAAAAAATCCATACTCACATTGTGGTGCATTTGGCAGCTTCTTAGCATATGCTTTTTTGCATATTCACAATACATATAGTATATATATATATATATATATATTGTATATATATATAATGCCAATGTCGATGTAAATGTGTGCGATCTTCCTTAAGAGCTCCCTTGAAACCAGATGCCGAATCTCAGCTGGCTTTCCAGCCTGGGACACACGGAAGCAGGCAGCACTCAAAACTAAATCAATCTAAAATCAACTTCAAATGTTGGCCAACTAAAGTGCTAAAAAATAAAAATAAAAAAAAAACAGAAAAAATAATTATACATCTAAGATTAATATACATATTTAAAAAGATGCATAAAAGAAATACGTGAAATATTTTAATTATCTTAGCAAAATTTCTTGACACCACGTGTTATTATTGTTAAACTAAAAAAAATATTTACAATTACAATTAAAGAAAAGAAGAGAAAAACATACCAAAATAATCAAGTCGAAAGATTATTAACGATACCTTCTAAATCTAAGCAAAATGTCAACTATATGTTTGATTTCATTCAATCCGATTCGATACGATTTGATTCGGTCGAAGCCTGTGCTATATCTATAAAGAAAGTTCTTCATGTCAATTCTCACAAAGAAACGCATATAAATTTATTATGATAACAGTGCTATAAGATTATAAAGGTGATTGTTGCAGTTGGTAACAAATTGCATTTACGATTATTACCATTAATCATATTCATACCAAAAACTAAAATATATATATGTATATATATATACATATATACATTTGAGAAACACAAATAACAAGATAAAAAATAAATAAAAAAAAACAGAAACTTTTAAATATGTAGAACCAGCATTTTGTCAAAATATATGCTGAAAATATTATTAAATTTTTGACTTGTTGATGACTCATAAGTGTTGTTGTTGTTGCCTCTAAAAGACATGGCATACCCCAATTTTTGCAACCACATTCACTTTCTCCTCTCTGTTGTTGTTTTGATAATACCTTATGTACATTTTTTGGAAATCGATTTTTGGACAGGGCCTCAAAACAACATGCTATGTGAGTAGTTATGGTCATCTATGCACAAAGCTGAAGAGCGCCACAAGCTTCTCATATATATATATATATATATATATATATATATATATATATATATATATACACGTATACTGTATACACCAGAGTTGTTGTTGTTGCCTATGTACGTATGTATGTACGTACATATGTAGATAGGAAATTAAAGACAAGCTGCTTACTGAAGTCAACTGAAGCCTTCAGCATTCTTGTTAATCCTATAGCAATCATTATGAAAATTCTTGTAAGCTGAATTTGTATTATTATCTCCAAGCTATGATGCCAGAACAATTGTGAAACAAAATGTGATTGTAAATGCTAATTGTTCGCTTATTAATGACTAAAAAACAAATATACAAATAAATAAAAATAAATAAATAAATCACTATATAAACAGATGTTCTATATGCTTATATGTAGATACACATGCAATTTGAGAAAGTTAAGTCATGATCACAATGCCAAGTTTAATCTCCACTAGCCCCTCCTCAAGCAAGCACTATTAAAGAATATAATCAAACAAAATTTGAATACAACATTTTAATTATGCGTTGTGTATATATCACTTGAAATTGTAGCTTCATTAATGTTACCCTAAAGTGGAGCGAAATGTATTTTTTGTCCCCCTTTTTTATATTATCAATCGAATATCCATAGCCATAAATGTATTAGTGCAAAAGTTCCGCTTTCCAAGGCAATATCTTTAGTAGACTTGAATTTTGAAAAGAAAAACAAATAAACAAAAAAGAAAAAATAATTACAATGTTAGAGCTACAACTAAAAGTTTATTTAAAATGTTTTTACTAAATATATCTATGTGTATAAGCTTAATATTAGTTGTATAAAATACAAATTTCCTCAAAACGAAGATTTTGTTGTCTCTCATCGGAATTTGGTCTCTACTTTTAAAACTATCAAAATAATCGTTACTCTTAAACGATTTTCTATTTCGGCTCATATTTTAATAGATGATGTTGTAGGTTTGTGATATTTACATACAACGTGAATATAATATTTCTGCAGAAACATTAAGGAGTTGTTTGATACACCTACAACTACAAAAACATAGTTTGGTCAATTGAAAATCCAAGAAAAAATGTTAATAAATTCAATGAATTATATTTGCCAACATTAAGGTAAATGGGTTTCATAGCCTACCGCACTAATGCATATAGGAATATACAAGTATATTTGCAATAATCCAACCCCAGTGGAAATTTACTTTCTGAATAATAAGATGAGGAACCCCGGCCGCCAAAAGTATGGCAAATTCCTAAAATTCAGTGCGATATTTTTCTGAGTGTACATTAAACACACTCGCACATACGTATATTCTCGTAGTGTGTTTATATAGTTGTCTAACCAAAATCGTGATACCCAATAACAATGTTAAATACACTTTTATTGTATGCAAATTGTCGTAAAATTCATTGAACACCTTATATAAAAAAGGAAAACCACTAAAAATATCTGAACAAATATATAAGTAAAGTACACTCTGCGATAAAAATTCAAAACAGCAAATGTTAAAGGGGAGAAATACTGCCTACGCATTTAGATGTTTCCATTGTGAATAATAATAGTTGAGCCAAGCTAAGTTGGGGCTTCTTATCGGGCACCCTCTTATCAGACGACCAACGTAAATTATTGGGAATTAATTCCGTTATGCGTCATAACTGATAAAATGATTTAAAGTATCGCCAACAAATTTGAAAAGCTTCAATTCTAATTATATTTAACAATTATCGCTTTTATTATGCTACTCCGCTTAAAACTCTATCTAATTCTTTTGTTTGGAATCATTGATTTGATTGGTTTTTGTTTTTCGATTCTACATTATAATCGGACCAGTAGAATCGATCGGTCTGAGTTCTTAATTCGTAATTCAAATTAGATGTATACAGATAAACATCGGTTTGCAAGGCTATGTTGAACAATGTTGAACATATCCAAATTAATTTTCTTTTCAATTTGCATTATGTCTAATTTCTTGTGTAGAATAATTAAATAGAATAAATTGGTAAGCTGGTATTTTCACAATAATAAAAATAAAAAAAGCATAATTCATAAATTAAATTGTACAAAAAGTTGCATGTTTCTTTGCAAAAAAAAAAATACTTTCTATACACACGTAAACTAATGCATGAATGTGTAAATATAAATATATATCTTTAGACTCGGAATACAAAAGATAAATATGCATGTGCTAAATATTATTATTTTTTATTTGTATATGTTTTATGTAGCATTTAATAAGGACACATGCCGCCGCTGTTGTTATCTCCCTCTCTCTCTCTCTGTCTTTCTCTGTGTCCTTGTCCTAGTTTACTGCCTGTTGCCTTTGCCCTTGCGATTGTTGCGCTGCTGCTGCTTATTTGTCGTCGCTGCTATTGTTATTGTTGTTGTTGTCGTCTCGGCTGCTGCTGCTGCTGCAATTTGAATAAGATAATTAGTAGCTGTGTGAATTGAGAATTGTAATATTATAGCAATATTAGTCGTTACACATTAGCATAGCTCATTTAAATATAACCGCCATAATGTTGATTACACAATGCTGCAGTTGCATGTGTGACCATATACCCAATTATGTTAAGCAGCTCTGCTAATTGACATAGAGAGCGATGCACACATTTAATTATGTTAATCAATCTGTTAATCTGCTGATCGATTCTTAGAAAACATCGATAAGGGTTGGCGTCCTTTTTTTTTTGAGAACAGGAAGGAGATACTTATTATTGTAGTACGCACCTTGTGCTGCACTCACATCCAGCTGCACTTGCTCCAGCGATTCGCTGACTGTCTCGAGGCTCGTCTGCTGCGGCGTCTCATCGTTCAATTCGGCAACCAGTGCCTCCTCCTGCTCCTGTTCCAGTTCCTTTTCCTTCAACTTCACTTCAGGCACTGGCTGCTCCGCCTGTTTTTCATCTTGTGGTTGCTCTTCAACGACATGCGCTTCCTCGGCAATAATGCCATTGAGCACATTTACTGCCTCTTGGGCCATATTATTGGCTTCAGCTTCGGCTGCCCTTCGCCGGCGCTGCTCGAGCTCGTTCTTGTAGTTGTGCGTCCATTGGATGTGCTCCTTGTAGTACTGATGCACGGGTATTACGATTACAGAGATGTCGTCAACGGTGGCCGCCGCTTTGCTGTCGGCCAAGCGCCAATGGCCCGAGTCGTTGATCTTGCCGCGAGCACGCGCCACCAGCTCTTGGGCGACCATTGTATAGCGATGCTTCTCTGTGGGATATCGCGATAGGGTCTGGAACACGGTCCGGGCGACCGCCTCGTTCTCGGACACGTCCCAGAGGCCGTCGGTGGCCATCACGAGAATGCCGTAGTCACCATCCTCGTTATGCTCATCGGGTATGCTGACCACCTGGCTGAGATCACGCTGTCGCACATCGGGATGCGGGGTTAGGAATGGTTTGATCTCAATGCCTGTGTTGATCGCCAGCAGATCGTGATCCCCGAATCCCCGTGTAACGCCCAGTGTGCCCAGCAGCCGACTACGCTTTCCCTCCCCATTCACCACCGGCATGCGGAGATCGTCGCGCGTCAACGTCTTGTACGTCCAGCCCTTCATGGTGCCTTGGCGGCAGAGGATGCGCTGACCCAGGTTCTTGATGTGTGGCCGCTTGGCATACTCCATGGCCACATACTGTTTTCCCATCAGATGTGGCGTCAACCGGGCCACGTTCAGCAAGCGTTCCCGTTCCGTTTCCGGCGTATGATCCGCCGAATACGGCGTCGGATAACTGTAAGCAGCTGCTTCCACAGCATCTGATTCCGCCTGATTGGCTGCCACTCCCGATCCAGATGCCACTGCCGATGCTGGTCCCGCTCGGCGCTGGCAGAGGACGGCGCGACTGTCGCCAGCATTGGCCACATACATCTTGCCATCGATGAAGAGCGTCACGCAGGCCGTGCAGCCGCCGGGATCCCGATATAGAAAACGATTCCTGTCTTGCGCGATCAGCGAGTCCATGTGAAAGAATGCACTCTCCAGCGCACCAACGATTAGCTCGTCCTTGCTAACCCGACGTTGAAAGTAGACGGGATGCGGAAAGGAATTCGCATTCAACGGCAGCTTCCCGTTCTCAATATCCTCGTCACGTGGCAGCAGCTGCTCGATGCAGTCGACCAGCTTCTCGTGCAGGATGTGATGGAATTGATGCGAGGCGGCCAATGCGGCTCCACAGCCGGCGTGGCCATCGTAAATGCCAAAATACGTATACGGCAGATCGGGATGCTTGTGTTCCGGATCCGAAAGCACCTGCCTGCAACCAAGCACAAATAAATCGATTAGCCTTCTATCTAACTTGAAAGCAGATTCTCCTCCTTATTAAGAAGTTAAATAGCCTACAAAGTTACATCGCAGGCCCAAAAATTACAAAATTTAGAAAATCTAAAAGAAAAGACAGGGGCAGAATACTGCTGCTATCTTCACGCACATTAATAAGTTCCTTTGGATCTAGAAGACAACGTCGATACCCATCAGGGTACTTATCTTCAGATCAAATCGCTTGTTACTTTTTATCTACATCGTTTCTGTCAAGTCGAGTCGCGTCGCATCGAGTCAAGACTGTTTACCCATCTACTTATTATCTGTCTAGTCTCTTAGCTAACCAGCTGTCTCGATAAGACTTTGACTTTATCTTTTGCATGACGTTATGTTCTAGATCTCATAAATAGCTGGACTACGTTATACAAGGGTATTTTTGAGGAAAGGGATTCAAAATTGGCTTGCTTACAAAGAATTGAAAAGAATATAAACTATGGTATCACAACGGGCCTAAACTGGCCGATGTGTCATCTATAAGCATAAACATATCGGAATCTTTTCTCAGAAAATAACTAAAAATGGCTCGCTTTGCTATCTAATATCAATTTTCCAATTCGATTTAAAAATCAATGTCTGGGGATATTACCAATTTGATTTTGATTTAATTTTTCTATTCGATTTAAGTATGTCTAAGAATATATATAAATCACTTTTCAGAAAATAACTAAAAACTAATTTAATTTTCTAATCCAGTTTATATATATATATCTGAGTATATAAACCCATCTGTTCCTGAGAAACGACATTTTGAGTCTTAGATAGTTGCTTCAGTTAATAGTTTAGTTTAATTGATTGGTGCTTGCTTGGCGACTTACCGACAGAAGGCAGCTTGATCCTCGTTCCACTCTGACTTGCCGGAGTTTACGCACTCGGCGTAGCCTGTGGCCCAGGGCAGCAGATTGATTTCGCGGGGCACGATGATCGGGCGGACATTGTGGTCGGCGGAGGCGCGCAGCTCGTCGTTGGTGAGCAGCTGCAGGAATGAGGGCCGTCCATACGGGATCTTGTCCGTCATTTGCAAATAGCGCATGTGGCCACCACGCTGATGATCCCGCTCTCGCTGCTCCCGATCTCGCTCCCTCTCGCTGCTCGGCAATAAGGGCAGATCGGGCACAATGGCCGAAACGAAACGATTTTTTAAATTGTTGAACATTGCAGTTGCGGGGACGAATCAAAATCTGAAGAATCCCTCTGTTTACTGCCCAGTGGCTAAGCTGGCTAGCTGCCTCTCGCTCACTCCCACTGACGTGGCGAGCTGGCTTGCCCTTCCGCTCTTATCTATAACTATACCTCTATCTATATCTATAGAAGTGTAATATTTAACGAGCAATCGCTTCTCCAGATTTGATTTATCTTTTGTCTAATAAACGTTTTGTGCGTGCTGCGATTTCGAATCGATTGCAGCAATTTTCATTTATTTTGTTCTCTTTTTTATTAATTATCGATTGCTGTTTTGTTCTGTTTGGCAAAATATTATTCTGTGTGTTCGCTGTTATTATATTGTTTTGATTGCAAACACTGGCGCGACTTCGATCAATTTGATTTTCTCGCGAAACATCAACAGCAGCAACAACAAAAACAGAAATCAGCCCATTTATCTTGTCTTCTTGGGCTTTATGGTTGTAAAAATCAATACTGTGTCGTGCACTTAACGATTGCAGCTGGCTGGCATTTTATACTATTTGGCTAATAATTGATTAATATGCCGTTTTACCACTGGCCGCGTAAGCATTAGCTTATTTTTGAGCCCCCTTAATATTTTCTCTTGCTGACGAATATTTATGAAAAACAGAGGAAGAAGAAGAAGCAGCTGCTAAGAAATTAGGGATGGGTAGCGCACGCACATATCGCGCATATCGAACTATTGCCAAATGCACGATATTTCGATAACTTTCTTATGCATATGCCAACCTTGATACATAGGTGGCGCCACATCACAAGAGTAACAAATTTGAAATACAAGCGATTGCTAACCGATCGTTATTTATTTGCAGATCGCAACACAGTGAATTGAACGATGTCATTATCAAAACAAACCCATCAGCAAGCATCGCTTTGGATCAGCAAAGGGTGGATCAATACATAAAGAATATGTCCTTCAATGGCAGCGAAAAAGTATAAAACAACAAAAAATGCTAATGCTAATTGAAAAATGTGAGACAACAAAAATATAATTTCCTGCTCTCCTTCAGGCAAACAACGAAAAACTGGCGGCCATGTGGATGTATGCCAGGCAAATGGGCAGCCTGCCCCCAGCATCACTCCGCAAGCTGACGCCAGACTCGCGTTCCATAATGCTCATCCCAGCCACAGCTGCCGGTAATGGGGTAAGTTGTTGATCTTAGTATGCATATATATTTCGATAAGAGAGGAGAAAAATTCATATTTATCCATTTGCGTGGCAAATTTAAATAAAAGGGACACAACGAAGTAAAGAAGTCTTTATTTATTTGTAATTTGATTTCGATTTTCATAAAATTTCTTAAATACTTTGAAAACGGTGTAAAATTATAGTTTTCGTCATTCTCTCTTTTTTTAAAAAAAAAAGTCCTTCACTTCAAAAAACTTATTCCCAAGTTCTTTGCTCCATGTACTTTTAGGAGTGGACCCAAACAAATATTCTAAAAACTATATTATTATTATAGATTATTCATAAATATGCCAAATGTTGACTTGTGTCTGTTGTGCTTGTTGCATTCTTGCAGTTGCCACCACCGCCACCCAGCCGCATGCCACCGGCTCCGCCGGGAATGGGAGGAATGCTGTTGCCAGTACCGCCGCCGCCTCCACCACAGTATGTGCCGTACATCCGGCCGGGTTCCGTGGTCTATGCGCATCCGGCCAGCCTCACGGGCACCTACCGGACGCACCGGAGCAACAAGTCGGCCGAAATGAACGGAGAGCGTCGGCGTCGTCGAGCCGGAAAATTGAATGTAAATCGCTGCCAGCGTCGCAAGTCCGAGGCGGATGTGCTCGATGGGGCGCCCAATTTCCGGTACACGGGCCTTGATCGCGCAATTGCGGACAGCTTCCTGGCCCGGCAGGAGCTGTCGCAGGCGGGCAGCCACATGGACTACTCCTCGTCGACGTCCTCCTCGGCGCACAGTGAGATCTACGGCCAGCAGGCTGCCGCTGTAGCTGCTGGCGCCCCCGCCGCCGGCTCGCGACCCTCTTCCAAGGCGAAGATCGTCTGCCGCGATGTAATGATGTAATCGGCTGATGCTGCTCTTGATGTAATCGGTTGATGAACCCTAGTTGAATCCCTGACGCGTTGCTCGGTAATTTTTGTAAATAGCTTACCAGAGGAAAGAACACCCTTATTTTTTTGTTTGTACTCATGTATATTTGTTGCATACATTTGTATGTATGTAAATACAGTTAGTTGTAGGTCTGTTTGCATATGAATCGAATAAAGAACACTCTTACAAAATAAAGTCATCAGTTGTATTATATATACATATGTATATGCCTTATATATCGTATCCGGTTAAAAGTCCTCGTCGCTGTGGTGCTCCGGCTTGTTGGCTGTCTTGGGTCGGAGCGGCAGCTCGCCGGTGAGCTTCGATATGCTAATGTCATCGATTGAATTCAGATCGACTGAAGGGGAGAATACAATTTTAGCAATGAGTGGTTTGTTTTAAAATATAATTGGATAAATGAAAAACTAAAATTTAATTACAACAATTTTCATGAATAATGTGAAAAGATAATGAAACAGGTATTGCACATGGATTTTACAACTTTCCAAATTTTGAGCTTGAACTTAAGTTTGAGAAGTTGTCCAGTAGACAACTGCAGGGCTGTATTTCTCAAAAAAGGTTAAAATATAACATATTATTGGGACTTTTAATTTGGAGCAAACTCTTCTAATATTTAATTATTTCTTTAGAAATTATTTCTAAAAACTAGAAGAGATTTATATTTTTAAAGCGATTTTTTTTCGGAGTGTATATATATATATATATATATATTGGGAAAAGTCCTGTCCCATTGATAAAAATCATATGTTGTCCATAGTTCGGATTGGTATCAGATCAGATCAGGCTTATGTATACTCACAGTCATCGTCGCCAGTGCCGATAGTTCCGCTCATTCCGCTCATGCCCATTATGTCGCCGACGTCGAGCTCACTTTCGGAGCTGCCGAAGCTGCTGTCCTCCTGCGCATTGGTGTCGCCTCCATTGCGGGTGGAGTGGAGTGCGGCCCTTCCAGCGGTGCCGCGACGACTGCGTCCGGTGGTGGGACGAATACGTGAGGTGGCTGTCCCAGGACGTTTGCCAGGTTGCTTGGACCCCGCCGCCGCCGCCGCCACAGTCGACGCCGCTTGGTTTGCGGCTTGGGTGCGCTGCAGCATCAGATCCTCGTCACGTATGTCGGGTATTTCGGCATCGAGGCCAAACGAGCCTTGGCGCCGCATTCCGTTGGCAATTGGCAATGGCTCGTCATCGTCTCCGACATCGACAACGTTAGCGTCATCGTCGTCGTCGTCGTCATCGTCATCGTCTTCGGTGAGGCCTTCGGGTATGAAGAGCATCGAGTTCTCGGCCGGCTTCTGCAGCAGCGGCGATGAGATGGGCGTGCCACGTGAACGCTTCGTGCGTGTCTCCAACAGGGTGCGCAGGGCATCGCGAACGTGGAGCCGGAGGAAATAACTCTGGAAGAGCTGCTGCAGCTCTTTTTCGCACTCCTCGAACTCGGCCATGTGAGCTGGGCGAATCTTTTGCAGAGCCTCCAGCCGTTGCTTGGTGCGCTCCAGTTCGGCCCGTTTGCGCTGCAGCTTCGAGTTGAGGGCATTCAGCTCGACGCGCCCATTCTCCAGCTGGGCGTGGCTGGACTGCAGTTTCAGCTGGCTGGCCTGGATGGCGTTCTTCATGGTACGCTCCACGCCGAGCAGCTCCATTGGGCGTTGGGCCTGGGCAAGGCGTGCCTCCTTGTTCACCAGCTCCTTGGAGAGCAGATCGAAGAGGGCGGCACCACGCTGTGTCAGGTCCGAGGATAGCTCTCGGGCACGGCGCAGCTCATCCATTTTATCGCCAATATCCACTTGATTGAGACTGCGATATTGGTCACGCTCCCGCTCCCGTTCCTCGTCGCGCTCCTCACCCTTCGTTTGGGTGGGCGCGATCAGCAGGCACGTAATCTTCTGCAGCTCCATGGCGCTAACAGCAGCCGCTGCATACAGCTTCCGCGGATTCAGCCGTATGCCCGACTTCGTCACAAAGAATTCGGTGGCGGAGCGAATGAGCAGAACACGCTGATCCTCCGTTTCGACGCCGCCGGCAAGGACAGCGCCAACCTCCAGCAGGCCAGCGAGCCACTGCAGCAACTCGGCAACAATGTGAAAGCTGGCCAGGCTACCGTGCTGCGTTGCCAGTGCCTGCAGCGGAAAGACGCGCGGAAAGCCAAGCAGCTTCAGATGCTCGCCCAGATCTAAAGGTTAGTTAGTTAGTTCAATTCCCATCTAGTCCAAACCCAGCACTCACCTCGCACATCCTTGAAGGACATCCTGCTGTTCACTCAATATGAATTTCAGCTGCCAAATACACATATTTTCCAACCTCATTTGTTGTGGTTCTCGCGTTGGCTTCGCTTTTGTTTACGCCCAGCGACCTGACCACCGTCGCGTTGCCTGGCAACCTTACTGACAACCCCCCAATCCCCTACCACCCTGCCACCCTCCTAGCAACCACCTGCCTGTGTGCTTGCCTGGACATTAATTAGACTGCACGACATCTGATAGCAACTTCAAATTAAATATCTACTTATTATTCACGCTCTATGATTTGATTCCATAAATAAATAAGGAGAATTTAAATTGGAAATAAAATTGAATATTTTTGCATTTAAAATTTAAAGTCTGAGCATGCATAAAATAAATATATATAATTACCCAACTTGTTGGTTTGGCTTGAAACCCCTCACCAAAAAAACCAACAAGCAGACCAAAACACGAATGAAAAATAGTTAGTATGAATCATGGTTAGTCGATTCGAACGATTTTTGTTTAATGACAGTTGCTTATGCCTTTATGTATATTTTATTTGCGTAATTGTCAATAAAGATTGTAGATTAAATGGTTAGTGCATTAATGATGATTTCGACTCCCGCCAAGTGGTGCTATCAGATGAGCAAAACGCAACAGCTTTTTTGTGGTGGAGTGGGGTGAATCGTCCCATGCCTGGGATAAGAGGGTCATTTTAAATATATATATTATTATTTATATATAAAACATTTTGGTTTGAGAACACCTTTACCTATCCAACGGAGCTGCAAGTGATATTTGTGAGGGTATCTACTCACAAGATACATTTTATGATAATATAATAATATTAATAAAATCATTTTTTTAACGATTTCAATATAGCACGTCATTCGTTAAGTTTCGGCTCACAAAATTAATTAGGTAATAAATAAATAACAAATGTATAAATTAATGGAACAGAAAATAAAAAATAATAAGCAATAAATAAAAAATAATACAAATGCAAAATTATAGTGAATAAATTGGTATAACTATCATAAGCAACAAAATGCAGAGAAATTCTTGAGAACCCTGCGCATCACTATCAGCAGCTGCGCATCACTGATAACTGCAGGCGTATCGCTGATCAGCTATGGAGTCTGGGGCACTAGCAGAAAAAAAGCTTTCCCGCCGCCTCCCAGTTAACTTATTTTTATTGAGAAATTGCAATGCTACGCTTAAGTCCTAAGGTCCAGTAGAATAATTTGTGTGGATTTTTGCTGCTACTGTTGGTTGTCGTTGTTGTTGTTGTTGTTGCTGCTGCTCGTTGTCCTCGATGCGGTTTAACGTTGTTGTTTTTCATGTTGCTCGTTATTTTCGATTCTTTTTAGCGTTGGTGCACTTTATTGTGTTTTGGTGTTGTTGGCACTTGTAATGTGCTTTTTGTCTTTATTTATGTCGTTTTGCGCGCACATATTTTTTAAAATGCTCTGTCAATTTGGGCGGGTTTTATTTTAAATGTTCCATCCGTTTGCACCGGTTTTAAATTATTTAATTTAAGTATGATCGCCAAACTTGATTTCAGGCTTGTTTCAGCCGTTAAAAAAAAACATTATTTAGCTTTATTAAAAAATAAATCAAAAAATTTGTATACTTATTGAGTCAAAAAAAATGGGGACAGTGATCGATGTATTGGAGGTCGAAGTGCGTGCTTCTGTCTCTTTTCTCGCTCGAGTCTCGACTCCTCTGACTTTGGTTCGACCTCCAGAAAATCGATCACTGCCTTTCTTTTTTTATTTGGACTCAATAATACGCACATTTCCTATCTCTTTATGTGCAACACGTCGAAAACAGATGGTGTGAAATTACTTTGGTAACCAGCTTGTTACTATTGTATGATAGGAATAAAGATGAACCGTTCAAGCAAATACAATTGTACTATTTGAACGGATAAGAAACAAATGTTACCTTAGATAAGGATACCGAAATCTATACTACTTAAACAATCTTAGATGAAATCGTATCCTGTTTAAATAAATGACATCTTAGAAATAAAAACTAGTACAATTTTACCACTCAAAAGAGACAACTTATTTCGCGAGCTCAACCGCTCTTCTATTTTCGTCCTCTCCCTCTTCTCTCTTAATATTTAAACAGAGGGCTGCCACCTAGCCGACTGTTGGCATCTCTGACTATCGATAAGTCCGACCAGCATGCGAACATGTTATTGCAATGAGGCTCGTGCCTATCGATAAATCGGGATGCTGATGAATAAAGAGGGCAGGGTTTTCAAATGTGTCTGTTATTATATTTGTAAGTTGGAATAACTACTGAATACCATTTTAGAAGTTCTCATTTTATGAGAAAGGAAAATAATTAACGTAAAAAAATATAATACAAAATATTGCACAAATAATTCTAATTATAAAAATAAACCCTTTTTCGTCTATTAAAATTAAAAATATTTGATTAATTTTGTATTTTGTTCCGTTCCTCTTATTGATTGAAATAATAAATAAGTAGCACTAATAGTCAGATAATCAAAGTTCTATAAAGAATACTTTATGGTTTACTACTTTTGAATGAGAAAAAAATTTAAATTGAAAGAATTCTTGCTGTTACAGGAACATTCGGCAAGGTTCGTTTCATTTGGGAAGGTAATTAGGTAATTAGGAGGCGTGTGATCATACCTCGACTAGAATCTGGATAAGTTGACAGCGTTGGACCGATCGAGCCCGTTCCTTTACACTGCAACACTTGTTCATCGTACACTGCCCTTAGACGTTAAAAGAAAATAAAATTGTATATATTGTATAGTTCTAATCGTAATTCCACGTAATTACTAAATAAAATATTATTTAAAACTTAATTTTCATTCATTTGTCATATATTTGAAGCGTATTTATTTGTAAGTATACATTGAGAGGGCGTACAACTATTTTAAAGGCATTCGGAATTTTTGCGTGTCTTTTGGTTATTTGAATAATTACAAAATCAATATCTCGTATGTCGATGCCCTCATGTCCGTGCTATGGACCCCCAACGGTATATTTTAGGGCGGCCGTATATATAAATATTTAAGATTAATTTTCGGCATATTTTTTGTTGCCGGCCTAAGGACGAATGTCTAGCCAAAATAATCAACATTTGACAAGTAGAGTAAATTATTTTCCTTTTGTTGTCTACTCATTTTGGAAACATTTTATTTAAATTCCCGACCAAGGTCGACAACCGTTAAATCTAACCTAACCGATATAAATTCAATTATTAATAAATCATGAAAATTTAGAAAGTTAGAATAATTATAAGTGCTAAGAAAGGATCAGAAATAAAATGAGTAAATTTGCAAAGATACGAGAAAGATATCTGTTTTTTTGTAATTTGTATGTTTAATATATCGGATCATCGACTTACCATCAGATATATTTCGCAGGGAATGGGCATGAATATAACATTTTTTTAAATATAATTGATTTTAATAATTCTTTAATGATTTGCGAGATGTGCCGAAGAAGGTAATTGCTTTGTTGACATAATTGCTTGTTTATCATGTACATTTTATGTAAAATGTGTATTAAAGTTCTTTGAGATGTTCGTATCGAACTAAAGCATTTACTAACTATAAAAATGAATTGGCAATCCCTAAAACTAAAACCGACAATTCAGCTGTCGTTAATCATCCGGCATCCCCTTCCTCCTCGACAAGTCTATTGATTTATTTTGCTGGTCATTGCACTCCAACAAAAGAATTAACAGTCTCTTTAGTGTCGAGCTATTAAATTTCTTGCCCAAATTAAATTGTCTGTGTTCCAAGGAAGACCAAGTTTCTTTCTATTTTTCTTTCAACACTTAGCTTTGATTTTTTTATACTCTAACCCTCAAGACAACAGCGTATATATTTCAAAAAAGATTTTATGATTTTACTCTTTAAATTTTTAGCTAGCCCATCCGACGATAAGACTTCAATAAACATACCTTATTAATCAATTAATTATTATTAATAATATGAATTGCCAGTAATCCAGCCTTTTCACAATCTTTTTCCCGACCTTCAGAAAGCCTTAACAAAACTCTTTCAAATTTTGTGAATTTACCTCATAGAGATATTTTTAACTTTATGATTTGGATATGTTTACATATTGGGGAAAAGTGTATCTCCTGGCCGGCTACACTCGACAAGAGAACCCTTAATTGTTTTTGTTGTATTCTTTTTGTTTTGTTTTTTTTTGTTTTTGGGCAGCAGTCAGTGGCAATTGGCGCAAGTGCGCTGTTTAGGTCGAGTTGATTGAGCTCTGGTCGCCGATAATTGAATTTATCAACTTTATTATTATCACAGTCAGCATTATGATTACTTCCCGGTCCCTCGCAAGTCAGCTATTCTCTGTCTCGCTCCCTCTTCTCGACAAATGCTTGATTGTTTTGCTTTACCCAAATTGTGGTCTTATAATTTCACTTCCATGGCACTCATTTAAAATGAGAATCGCGCCGCATTCATCACCGTGCAACATTTCTCGCCATGGTTCGTGCAACGCAGCGGCAGCAACTTTTCCAATTGCTATTTTGCCAACGGTTGGCGGCAACGTCCGCAAATCGTTTTATTCTGACACGATGAAGCAAATAGCAATTAACACATACACAAAGCCAACACCGAGAATATTCTGTAATAAACTTTGTCCTTGTTGGGCAAAGTTTACTCTGCTCATTGGCGTCCATTGTTATTTAAGTTGATCAACTGGATCTCAACGGACTGTGAGCCATAGGCCTTCATATGCAGGACACATTCATGTTTTTGCTGCTGGTACTGCTGCCCGTCTAATTCAATTTTAATCTACTTGGATCCCAACTTTCACTTAATGGCCTTGCCCGCACGTGTGTGCCACAAATCGTAGCACGCCTGCCACTACTACACTCGGAAAACAAGTCGACATGAAAACTATAAAGTTTTTCTTGTTTTCTTAACACTACAGACGCTTGTCCTACATCGATAAGCTATTTAGTTTTATTTTCTTCGAAATAAATTTCTAAAAAATGGAAATGCAAACCCAACATTTTAGAAAAAAAAAACTTTCCTAAAATTCAGAAACATGAGT